GTAAATATATTAGTTCTCGTAATGCGCGCAATCCAAGAGGCTATCTAATAATAGATTTTTTCTAGTCCTTGAAACGTTAATATTTCCTTAAGATAGGAGGAATAATTAGCCGAACTTTGTATCTTAGAATAAAAATGTATTTCCTTAGTTGCTTATTATTTATTGCAAAATAAACGCTTGATGTAGATACTAGCAGATACTGCACATGTACTTCATGAATAATAAATTATCGATGCAGCGTAGTAAAATAAGTAAATATATTAGTTCTCGTAATGCGCGCAATCCAAGGGGCTATCTAATAAGATGTCTAAGGCAACTTATAAATCCTTCAGTTTTTAGCACAAAATGACAGCTTTTCTTAATAAACATTAATATATTTTAGTTTCTAATTAATGGAAGATGAACATTAAAGAACAACAACCAAAAAAATAACACCACATAATGTGTTTTTTTAAATAAAAAAACTTTTGCCTGAAACATTTTCTTGTATCTTAAAAAGAACAAAAAAAGGGATTTAAGTGATTCTTTTTATGTATTACCTTACCCTGTATAAATCATCATATGTCATGAAAAGTATGCAGTAAATAAGAGATTAGATGAAGATAATGAATCCACTATAAAAATTGATTGAAAGATGTTAACGAGTTTTGCTCTGGAAGAATGAATAGCATTTTGAATTTGTTAGTTAAAATTATAATTTTATAACTTATAATAAAATTAATTAAATTAAAGAAATTATCTATTTGGACTTTTTTAATTAACAAATTACATATTAAAAAATAGCTTTTCTAGCCCAGAACTGAGTGTTGGTTGTTCAATAAAGAAAAGTTAACAATTAGTTAATTCATACGTTTTGGCTCATTTTATTTGGCCATCTTCAGTGAACGATAATTAACAAAAAGAAAGTTACATAGAATTAATGAAAATACGTATACGTATACGCCTTTTTAAAAAACAAAAAGATGCATATACATGGAGATATGTAGAGGTAGACGACTGGGCGGACACCCTCGATGCACAAATTCTGTCATGTGTAAAGCAGTCAGATTGTCAGTGGTCTGATCGAAATCAGATTGAAAGGCTGAGTTCCTCGACAGTTAAAGACTTTTATGAGTGTCACCTTAATTGTGTATCTATCGAGTGAGAACTGAGTTAAAAAAAAAAATAAAATAAAAGGAAGGGGAAAAGATGTGGAATCATTGCGAGACGCTTCACAAGTCAAAGCACATTAGTTCGAGAGTTCAAACATACTCGACCGTTGAAGTGGATAGGTGCGTTAACTATCTAGACCGGTACACAGCGTCATGTGAAAAATTTTTTTATATATCTAAGACAACACAAGTAAGATTAGTTTTTTAAAAAAGAATTCCGACATTTCCAATTTTATATAGACTTAGCGTCAACGGCCGAATTTCGTAAACAAAATGCGATAACCTTGCGGCGTATACGTATTTTCATTAATTCTATGTAACTTTCTTTTGTTAATTATCGTTCACTAAAGATGGCCAAATAAAATGAGCCGAAACATATGAATTAACTAATTGTTAACTTTTCTTTATTGAACAACCAACACCCAGTTCTGGGCTAAAAAAGCTATTTTTTAATATGTAGTTTTATAGTAAAATAATAAAATAGATAGAATCTTGATTATATTAAGACTTTAGTATCTGATCCATGCTCGATTTTGATGAAATTTTACAGGCACGTAGTACTTATTAAATGTAGTCAAAAAGAGCACACACTGCCGATCAGATACTTGGATATTTCCTGATCGGACACAGTGCCAATCAGACACAATAAAAAACGGACACACATTGATTGCCTTTCACTTTATATCTCTGGACTGTTAACTATCCCCACTTTTCTCACTGAAACAATGTAAAAAGTTACGATCCAGCGCTGCCACATTCTGTAAAGCAAGAAAAATTTGAATTGATTTAAAATTAAGATTAAAAAAAGATAACAAATTTTATAATAAAAGAAATAAATAGAAATAAAGGGTGAAGTTCCGAAAATGCCACATCTCCGATTTGCTTCAAACTACGTTTTTTATTGTATTTTCGCGCTGATTACGAATATGACCATGCTGATTGGCGACAAGGTCATTTTCAAAGTAAAAACTCAAAAATTATCGCTTTTTTAAACATTATTTTTTAACATTATTTGTTTTTTTGTCAATGAATTGTTAGTACATTCCCTCTCAAACTTTTCAAGCTGCAAAGATCTAGCTGATAGGTCGCAAGTTTACCTAACTTGTCATTGATTTTTCTTGTGTATTGACCATTGACGCAAAACGTAATTACTTTTACAAATGTTTTTTCTTTCATTTTTGTAATACGATATATGTATTGGAGCAACAATAATAATGTAGATAATAGCTTGCAGCTATTATCGTTGTCTAGCTGTTGCTGCCAATATCTCATTAATTTCGTTGAAAATATTTATAATGACGGACATACGCATAAGTCCTTAGGAAAATTTACTATTTAAAACTTAACAAAAATAATTTAAGAAAACTTTTTAATTTACAATAAAACTTTTTAAAAGTTTTGAAGAGTAAATTTGGACACTTTAAAATAAAATTTACTCTTCAAAAACTTTAAAAAATGTTTTTAATAAATGAAAAAGTGTTCTTAATTTATTTTTTTATAGTTTTACTATATATAGTAAATTTTCCTAATATTAATATTAGTAAATACAAATGTGTTAACAGAAATAATAAACAAGGAAAAAGAATTTGCATTTAAACTGCAAGTTAATTGCAAAATCTTGCAAATTCTTGCAAATTCTTTTTCCTTGTTTACTACTTCTGTGTTACATATATGTTTAATGCTAATAAATGTGCAACGTGAGCAGACGCAGATTTACATATTTGCCGCTTGAGGCTAAAAAATAGCTGCCGCTCCTTATGTAAAAGTCTATGTCCACGATGCTGCAAATTGGTCCGAGAAATGTATAATCAAATTGCAGTTTTTATGGAAAAACGGCAATTTTATTGGCTATATGTTTTTCGATCGAGATTTCAGACTGATTTCTAGTATCATGGACCTAAAGAGCAGTGAAAATTAGAATGTTTACAAGAAATTTATAACGCGATCTGAGCATGAATGACTTCCAAACGTAACTTTTAATCTAATACAGCCTAATGTGTAAAATAAATTCCAAATGCAACATATACGAATCTGATTCTGCCGCCCCTATATATTGCCGCCCTGGATTATAGCCCATTAAGCCCATACCTAAATCCGCGCCTGAACGTGAGTAATTTGCGTTTCACATTCAATTCTCTGAGCATTGCAATATTTACAACTTTATGTCTTAAATGATTTCAAGGGCCAAAACTTAAGAAACTTTGAAGCCTTGAAGTTACTTTACACAAACTTTTACTTACTTTTACGTCAACTTTAAGTTACTAAACTCCACCATTAAGTTACTTCACATAAACTTTTAGATACTTTTCATGTACTTTATGTCTTCAATAACTAAAGAAGCAAAAACTCAAATTTAAAAACTCTGAAATAACAAACAAAAATTAAAATTTTTATAGTTACTTAAAAGAACTTTTCAAATTTTTAAAGTTACTAAACAAAACTTTAAGCCAGTCGAAAGTAAATTTTCTTAAGGGAACTAATGCAATATTTGAATATATTTGCAACGTTCAGCCAATTTCTACGTTTTTAACATGCAATTAAGCACTCACAGAAAACGTTTCTTTTATACTACAGTCTACTGTTATATGTAGCATCATATATAATTTATTTATAGTATTTGAAAAATAAATTATTCTTTATATCTTTTATTGTATCTTTTGCTTTTCTCGCATTCCGGCAGGCCAAAATCACTCTCGCATCTAAAAGAAATATTATTTGTACAATTATATTTTTTATTTGATATACATTATTCATATTTCGTTAAAAAATATTAAAAATAATTATATTGATTTACTTAAACAGTTCGTATAACAAGAACATCGGGAAAAATTCGAGATATTATTTTCTTAAGTGTTTCCTAAATATTGAAAATTTTTGGAAAGAAAAAAATTTATTACAAATATTCCAATATTTGAAGTCATTTTTCTCTATAATTGAGTTTTGTACAAGTTTCATTGTATATTTTTTTCAAAGAAATTCAAAGTACGTAAGAAAGATGCAAGGATTAGACTCGTAAAACTGCAAGCTGGAGTCATTTATTTCCTCTTTTTTATTTCCTCGATTCGCAACCTTCCACAAAACAATATAACACCATTTTATATATTTAAATTACTGTCAAAAATTTAAACCGATATCATGCACTAAACACCACGCACCTTTGACACGCATACTATAGTATGGATTAATTATTCGCGGCCCCGTTGCCACACAGTGTCGCCACATATCTTGGCTACCAACGTGAAGTTGACTCTAGCGGTCCATATTTTCATAGTCAAAGTGACAAATAATGTAGTTCCCAAAAATACTAATAATGTAATAAATATATAACCTTTTCACATTATAATTTTTTGGTAAACCTGATAATTTTTTGATAAATATATAATTTCTTAAATGATCTTTGAACATCTTAAAAAACACGCAAAAATGTCAAATAACACAAAATACTACTGTGACTGTACTCAAGATATGCTTATCGAATTAACTTCAATTTTTTGCATTTGCGACGACTAAAAATTAATTATTTTAAGTTTACGCTTACAAATTGCATTTTACGAGCAACGACCTATATAAACGTTTTTTTGAAAATACGTTTTTAAACAGTTATTTAATTAGAAATTATTGCGCACATATAAATTGTCACTTTTATCTTAGATGTTAGTAGATTATATATTAATGTTTATCTCTTATAGAAATCTCTGTTAGTCTCTTTGCCGACACCACTATGCAAATCTATTGTAGATCCACATCTGGAAATTTGAATAATATTAATTTATGCTATAAAACCGATATCATCTCAAATATGTAATATATTTGAATAATTTTTTATAGCATTATTATAATTTTAATAATTAAAATCGTATCTTTGTAATTTTAATGATATTTGTTTAAACCATCGATAATAGACATTATCATATTATTAATCATGAATTTGGATTGTTTTTCAGTATAAATTTCTACGAAAAACACATCATTCAATTTGACGCGAAACAGTTTTTAAAAATACAGCAAGATTTTCATCGGGTTCCAAATGCAAAAGCTGACAGGTTTTATCCCATAGTTCTTTAGCAATTTGCTCATCTTTTTTCTTCCACTGTGAAATCGCAACGCGGCATTCTCTGCAAAAAAATACAATACAATATAAAAATATTGTGCGAAAAAATATATTAAAATATAAATATTCGCTCAGACGTTAATAATATTATACAACTAAATTTCTGATAAACGACAACGTAAGATCATTTATTTTTTGATAAAAGTATATTATATGAAACATTTTAAAATATTATAGAGTTAAATTTTATTGCATTTATTGATGGACTTTATAGAATGTACAATAAATAAAACAAAGTATTTGCATATTTTTTTATAAATAATTTTACATAAAAAAGAATTATAAAATATATCCATTAAAATGCATCGTTTTTATTTAAACAAATTATCTCGTTAATGTTCTTTATGTCTCATATCAAGACAAAAATATAAGAAAATGTATGGCTATATATCCTTGTATAATATGCAAATACTTTTGTTATCCTGTTGCTTTCTTCTTAAACTTCATCTTACGTGTAATAGAAACCAGTTTCATCTGCTGTCTTCTCGTCCACTGCACAATACAATGTCGTTTGCGCACCTTCCTCAGGATTTTTTACGAATGGTCGCAGCCAGCGAAGCCAGTGAAAAACAACGCTTGCCCCGGGAAATACTGTTTTGTGAAAATGTCGACCTAACTCTGTGTGTATAATGCCGGGGTGCAAGGAATACACATTTATCCCGTTGATATTCGCCTCTGGAAAATAAATTTCTGTTTATAAAATAATTCTTACAACAATCTCTCTATAAAAAAATCTCTTATTTTTTTATAAATTAACAATGTAAAACAAAAATTTCCCTATTATATTGCATAATTTATATAATTATATAAAAAATTGTTCCTGAAAACATATCTAAACTAGTGCAATCCTTACAATTCACACAATTTATAATTTTTAATGTGTCATCTAACAATCTAACATATAATATTTAATTTATTATCTAATAATTATTTTTACCTACCTTTTAATCGACGAGCGAGTTCTCTGGTGAACAATACATTCGCCAATTTACTTTGCGAGTAAGCTTTTAAAGGAGTGTATGTTTTCTCCAAATTTAGGTCTTCATGTATAACACCATCTGCAATAGAATAACAGTCATTAATATCAATTATTATAACTATTATTAGTTATAATAATTGATATAATAATTATTATTATAGTTATAAATTATAACTATTATTAAGTATAAAGTAATTTTTTATTAAAGAATAATTTGGAATCTTATCATTATAGATAAAAATTCCCGGATATAATAAGATATAAAATATAAAATAAAGATATATTTTTACAATAAGAGATAAAATTGTATAATTTTTGTAAAATGACATGATTTTATATATCTATTAGTACTGCAAATTTGCCGAGTTTCTTAGTAAACATGCAGTGTGTGTTGATACCATAGATATATTACATATAGATAGAGCCATTGAGTAAAAAGAAACAGGAGGGAGCATATACTAGCCAGGACTAGGTAAATCCGCGGACGGATGTACGTCATGGCAGCCATCTTGAGCGACCACTTTTTGAAAGTGAGAGGGAATGCACGAGCATAGCGGCAAGCGGCATACCGTACGCCGTACGCATTAATATGCAGTGTATAGTCTTTTATGCAACAGTGTATGGAAATAAACGATCAAAATGGTATACTGTAGAGCTTGTGGCATAACAGCAGCAGCTCGAAATCATGGAATAACGTTTCATCGGTTAGTATTATCAACAATAATGAGATTTTTATTTTGGAGATTATAATCATATGTATAGTATTGTGAACTTGTAGATTCACAATAATTACTAAATAATTTTCACTCACAAACAGGTTTCCGAAAAATCCGGATTAAAGAAATGCATGGATAAATTTTTGTAAGGACGAAGGATTTAATATAAATTTAGATTTTAGATTTTAACATTGCTCTTATGGAAATACTGCACGAGTGCAATCCCAATGAAAAACGCCATTAAAATTTGGTATTATTGTTGCATATTATAGTTATTTTCTTTTAATTGTACATTATTTCCTAATTAAACATAACAAGTCATTCAATATTGGCGCCCTTGAGCGGCCATCTTGAGCGACTACTTTATATAGTCACTTCCGTCCGCACTTTTACGACCAAACGCTCCCTCCTGTTTTTTTTTACTCAATGGATAGAGCTTTGGACCATTTTTGCTATAATGCAACACCTGCCAAGATAATGACGGTTTTTCCTCCTTCGCGCATGCGCATTCGTATAATTATCTCGGCAGATACAGCACTTTTACATAAAATTAGGTTATATCCTTGGCTGTCATGGATAAACACTTCTGTTTTTTGAAGATAAATGCGTGATTGCACATGCGCGAAGAAGGAAAAGATAATTTTATCTTGGCAGGCGTAAGATTCACAAAGCTCTATCTATATATAATATATCTATGGTTGATACTTTATATTAAAATCTAAATATGCCTTATTAGTAGATATATCGTATCCCCACAAAAAAGTGACACAAATCAAGAATATAAAATTCTTCAGGAAATAAGAAAGTTCTTTATAGAACTAGAAGTTCATTATATAATACAGCGCTCGGAATTAGTTGCACATTTCGGGCCGATTCCCGAGACGACGCCTCCTGTTCCCCCACTACCGCTCGACCGCTAGCGGTCGAGCCGCCGATAGCTCTGGCGCAGGAGCGTTTTATATAAGAAATAGGCTGGGTTGTTGAGGCACCTCTCAGAAAATAGTAATATTTTCTTTGCTACATAAATAATGTTTATTTTCATTAATAATTAAATATATATATATTATGTATTAATAAAAATAAACATTATTTATGTAGTGAAGAAAATGTTACAATTTCCCGAAAGA